TCCTGGGTAAGCAGGGGTCCGGCGTCCCGATTCCCGCCTGTCCTGGAGTGGGAGCCGGCGAGGGAGGGGCCGGCGCGGACGCCTGTCGTCCCGGGAGCCACTGCGTCCCGAGGGGAATAGAAGAAGCGACCGACGGCCCCGGGCCCAGGCGTCTGCGCTGGCCTGTGGGAACGGTGCCTCCAGGGCCCCACGCAGCTCCGGACGGATCCCCCACGTGGCGGCCTTGAACCCGTGCTCCGGCACCCCTCGGGGCCCCCACCTCTTTACGTTTATTCTAACAAGTCTGATACTGAACCGTAACGTTCGGAAGGAACGTTCCCGGGGGCTGTTGGTGCGGTGGGGAGTCCCCGGCGACTGTCCTGGGCCCGGCCTGGGACGGGTGGCCTGGGGAGCGGCTGGACACTCGGGCATTTGGCACAAAACCTCGGACTCGAGTCTGCGCCTGCTGCTTTGCGAGGAGGCCCGAGGACGGTCGTTGCTGCGATGCTGTCGGGGTGTGTGATTAACATCAGGGCTCCCAGGCAGACGCCGGGGAAGGTGCTGGAATCTCTGGCTCTCTATGAAACAAATACTCTGTGGCCCGGCAGCAGCGGCGCCTTCCTGGGAACTTGACTTTCTGGGCGCAGGTCACTCTGCAGGAGGGCTTCAGATGCTGTCTCTCGGGCTTAGTTTGTAAGTTGGGAGGTGTAAAGCGTTCAGTAAGTACCCCAGGTGCTAGGTACCTGGTGTGCTTGACCTCACTTAATCCCCCCACTTTGTGGGGTGGTTAAAAGTCCCATTTTACTGATTAAGAGAGAGGGGTTGAAAAGTAGCCTGGGAGAAAGTCACCCCACGCCCCTCTGGGTGGAGCCAGACTGCCTGGACTTAAGGTCAGGCTGCCGCTTCCCCTGGGTGACCCCAGGCAGTGAGTCTTGGGGTTTTGCTGGTTGTCTTGTTCTTGTCTAGTTAGTTTGCTTTTGCTTTTGTAAGAGGTGAGTAGAAACAATTTCCACCTCCAGGCCAGGGGGCAGTGTGAGCAGTAGAAGTATCTGGTTTATGCTCAGCACAGAGCCTGGTGCCGAGTAACCGCCCATAATTGCCGCTAATTGTCCTCATTGCACAGAATGACACCAGGGGTGTTGGCAGAGGTATTCCCGCTCCGGTCAGGGACTCCCAAGGCCACAACTGCCTGGAGTGATTGTTGCCTGATGATTTAGTGCCTAGTGCTTAGTGCTTCTGGATGCCTTTTAGGGTGGGAGAGGCAACTTTGCTGCTTGCTGGTTTTTGGTTTTCACAATATTTCTCGTTATAGAGGGATCAACTCAGGTAAGGAAATTTTATCCATCATGGTCCTTACAGGAAGCCAAATTCAACACAGGGGGTCAAATGGTTAGGACTTAATAAAGGGACTGAACAGACGCAGTGGCTTGCCCCTGTAATCCCAGCACTTTGGGAGGCCGAGGCGGGAGGATGACTTGAGGTCAGGAGTTAGAGACCAGCCTGGGGAACATAGTGAGACCTCCTTTCTAAAAATAATTTAAAAGAACAACGCACACATTTAAAAAATAAGAAAGAAGAATAAAGGAACTGCCTGCATTGATATGGTTAAAGTGACAGACAAGGACGGTTCTCAACAGGCCCTGCCATTGTCACCGGAGCCCAGGGTGGACGGAGTCGGGAAGGAGGGTGGCCAGCAGAGCTGCCATTGTGGGGAGGAGCAATGCCAGTCACACTGTCTCTCTTGGTAAACTCGTTTCGCAGGGTATGTTTCCTGGTCTCTCTATCATGACCTGGGACCGATGATCTATTACTTTCCGCTGCAAACACTGGCGCTCACCGGACTTGAAGGCCTCAGTCTTGCGTTACTTTCTCCAATACTCCTCATAGCCACTCCTTTCTGGAAATTGGCCAACAAGAAGTGGATGCTGACCCTGTTGCGGATAATTACTGTTGGTAAGATCTAAAAGCTTTTTGTTGTTGTTGTTAAAAATCAAGTGAAATCACGTAGACCGTTCTTTGATGACTGAATAAAAAAATCAAGGATTTCTCTTTCCCGAGTTGCCTTAGCAGAGCTTTGGTAATGGGAAACCTAGACCAAGAGCCAATGTGTTTTATATTTCTAATGTCTTTGCCAGGTGGGAAAGACCCCAAAATCATCAAGGTAAGGAGGGGAAGGAGACCTTGGAGAAGAGGTTGCATTGGATAGATCACCTTCTTCTTTCCAGTTGCAACACAAGTCTCAGAAGCCCCTGGAAAAGGATTGTTCAGCAATTTTGCACAAGGGACACAAAAATTATGCATGACAGATACCACGGCAAGCAGTCAGACAACATGCAAGGAAGAATTTGCAATAGAGTTTCTACAAACCAATAATAATAATTTTAAAAGGCCAACAACTCAATAGAAAAGGGGGCAAGCCGGGCTCGGTGGCTCAGCCTGTAATCCCGCGCCTTTGGGAGGCTGAGGTGAGTGGATTGCCTGAGCCCGCGGGTTCGAGACCCGCCTGGGCAGCGAGACCTCATCTCTACAATAAATCAAAAAATCAGCCGGGCATGGTAGCGCATGCCTGTAATTCCAGCTACTTGGAAGGCTGAGGCGGAAGGATCGCCGGAGCCCAGCAGGCGAGGTTGCGGTGGCCGGGAGCGGCCACTGCATTCCAGTCTGGGCGACAGAGTGAGACTCCAACTCAAAAAAAAAAAGAAAAAGGGGCAAAGGGTATTATTTCACTGGAGAGGAACTACCTCTGGTTCCTCCAAATGCAGGGGGTGCCAAAAAAATGGATACATATCCTAAGGATGACGTTCACTTAAAAGATGATGTTCCACCAGGCTCGGTGGCTCAGCCTGTAATCCCAGCACTTTGGGAGGCCAAGGCGAGTGGATTGCCTGAGCCCCCAGATTCGAGACCAGCATGGGCAACTTGGCAAGACCTCGTCTCTACAATAAATAAATAAATTAGCCAGGCATGGTAGCTCGCACCTGTAGTTCCGGCTACTTGGAAGGCTGAGGCGGAAGGATCACCAGAGCCCAGCAGGTCGATGCTGGGGTGGCCATGAGTGTGCTACTACTCTCCAACCTGGGCAACAGAGTGAGATTCCAACTAAAAAAAAAAAAAGATGATGGTCATCAAATGAATGCCGGTGTCACCATGTGACAGGCAGGGCAATAAAAGAAAATGGCAGACGCATGGTTGAGTGAACGTCATACTACACATTGCTACCGGGATTCAATTCAACTTCAGAAAGTAATACATAGATGACTTCTCTTAAATTGTGCGTACATTTTGTTGGCACCCCCATATAATCAAAGATATAGACTGCAGATTGCACACACACATTTCTGGCTCTTGTTTGACTAATGGATCAGAAAGAACACAGTCTGACATCATGGTGAGAAGAGAGGGTTGGCACTCGGGCAATGTTGGTGAGGTCATCCCTTGACACAGCTTCTGTGGAGAGGGATTTATCAAAATCGCAAACATGGACGCTCATCTCGCCCGGCAATTCCACTTCCAGGAATGAGTCCTACAGATACACTCACACACTGTCATGCGTCGCGTAGCTACATTTTGGTCAGTGACGGACCACATATGTGACAGTGGTCAGAGTAATAGGCCATGCCATGTTCTACAGCTGTGCAGTAGACTGTACCATCTAGGCCTGTGTGAGTACACGCTGTGGTGTGCCTATGAGGAAATTCCCACAGAACATGTTTCTCAGCATGTATAACTGTTGCTAACTAAGGTTATTTAACCATTGCAGCAATATTAATGATAGCAAATTTGGAAATAACCTAAAGTTCGTCTCTAAGGCATAGGTTAAATACATTATGGTAGCCGGGCTCGGTGGCTCAGCCTGTAATCCCGCATCTTGGGGAGGCTGAGGTGAGTGGCTTGCCTGAGCCCACGGGTTCGAGACCTGCCTGGGCAGCACCTCATCTCTATAATAAATCAAAAAAAAAAAATCAACCGGATGTGGTAGTGCATGCCTGTAATTCCAGCTACTCGGAAGGCTGAGGCGGAAGGATCGCCGGAGCCCAGCAGGTCGAGGCTGCGGTGGCCGGGAGTGGCCACTGCACTCCAGTCTGGGCGACAGAGTGAGACTCCAACTCAAAAAAAAAAAAAATACATTATGGTTATGAAGCTTAGAATGCTATCGAATACCATGCAGCTTCAAAAAATAATGAGAATATTATTTATGTAGTGAAATGGAATGTTCTTCAAGCATATTAAGTGAAACAATGAAGTATTGAATATTGTATACAGAAAGCTGACATTTGCGTAAAGTTTGGATGAAAATATATTTAGTATTTGATGACACATGCACTAACTAGTTCTAAAAGGGGTTTTAAAAAACTGGTAGCATTTTAGTCGCTTTTAGGGTAGAGAATGTGGTAACTAGAGACAGGTATAAAGAAGGAACTTCACATGGCACCTTTTATGCCTTTTGAATGCTGAATTTGAAAATGCTACATTGCTTAAAAAAACTAAGGAACTGAGATTTTTTTTTCATATTAATACTGAGAAATCTTGGAGAAGTACTTGTAGCAAGAAAGTAGGAAGAGTAGTAAGTGATCCTAGGTTCCTTTTGACCTTATGTATGTTGTTCCACTAATATGGCTATAATAAAAAAGACAGACAATAGCAAGTGTTGACAAGGTTGTGGAGAAACCGGAACCTCCACATATTCATTGCTGGTGGAAGAATGAAACAGCATAGCAGCCTTGGAGAAGTCTGGCAGCTCCTCACAGGGTTAAACAGAGTGATCATATGACCCAGCAACTCTGCTCCTTGGTATATGCCCAAGAAAAATGAAAACATGTGTTCACCCAGAAAGTTGTACACAAATGTTCATAGCAACATTATCCATAAAAGCCAAAAAACAAAACCACCCAAATGCCCATTTTGAGTGGGTTAACAAAATGCAGTAAATACATGGAATGGAATATCACTTAGCCATTAAAAAGAAATGAAGCACTGATATGTGCTATAGCATAGATGAACCTTGAAAGCATTGTGCTAAGGGAAAGAAGCCTGTCACCAAAGACCAATGCTGTATGCTTCTCAATGAAATGCCTGGAATAGGAAAAACCCATTGAGACAGAAAGTAGATCAGTGATTGTCAGGGGCTGGGGTGTAGGGGGCAGGGTAACTACTCATAGGTATGGGGCTTCTTTTTGGGGTGATGAAAATGTCCTGGAATTAGATAGTAGTGATCGGTGTACAACTTTGTGAGCATACTAAAACTCACTGGATTGTTTGCTTGAACATGGCGAATTTTATGGTGTGTGAATTGCTCCTCCATAAACATTTTCAGCTGTGTGCATAAAATTATATATTAACTCTGTCTTCTTGAGTGTCAAGATGGCGTCAGGTGATGTGGCCCGACCACAGCTCCCTGTGGGCCTGCCCACACTTGCCGGACACTCACCGCCTTCTTCTGCTTGCAGGCAGCGTAGCCTCCTTCCGGGCTCCCAATGCCAGGCTTCGGCTGGTGGTCCTTGCACTTGGTGTGTCTTCCTCGCTGGTCGTGCAGTCTGTGACTTGGTGGTCAGGACATGGCTTGCAAAGGTATGGTTCAGGTCTTCTCTACTTATAGACAGAAAAACGTGAGCAGCTACCAAAGGACACCTCAGAGCCAGGAGTTCCAAGTTCCTTTTTTGTTTGTATGGGGTGTTGGGGTCTCACTCTGCTGCCTAGGCTGGAGTGCAGTGGCATGGTCGATCTCCTGGGCTCAGGCAATGCTCCTGCCTCACTCTCCTGAGTAACTGGGACTACAGGCATGTACCACCTTGCCCAGCTAATTTTTTGATTTTTTTTTTAGAGACAAGGTCTGGCTATGTCACCCAGGCTGATCTTGAATTCTTGGACTCAAGCAATTCTCCCGCCTCAGACTCCCAAAGTGCTGGGATGACAGGCATGAGCCCCTGCACCTAGCTCCAGGTTATAGTTCTTACCCTCCATGGGGCCTTATGGAAGTTTCCTTGTCACAAAACCAGGACATGAATACTTGCCTCTGATCTCAGTAATGTTTTGAAAGTTAAAGAATTATTACAAGTAGCCTAGGTGACAAGTCGTATAAAGGCTGAGCCAGATATGTTATTGCAAATGACCTACAGGACCATGTCAGATACTCAGTGTATGAAGCTGAAATTCATGATGGACATAGTACATTAAATCCACATAAAATTGTTTAAAAATCCTTTTGCACCTGCAGGTACATCAGAGTCTGGGGATTTGTTTTGGGACAGATCCTTCTTGTTGTGCTTCGTATATGGTTCACCTCTCTAAACCCCATCTGGAGCTCCCAGGTGTCCAACAGCGTGATATTGACATTGAGTGCCATGGCCACACTCGACCGCATTGGCACAGGTATGTAGACACCAATTTGTTCAGGGATTTTCTCTCTTTTTTTGAATCGGAGTCTCATTCTGTCACCCAGGCTCTGGTATAGTGACACACTTACGGCTACCACAGCCTTGACCTGCTGGGCTCTGGTGGTCCTCCTGCCTCAGCTTTCCAAGTATCTGGGACCACAGGTGCATGCCACCACACCTGGCTAATTTTTTGGTTTTTACAGAGATGAGGTCTCGTCAAGCTGCCCAGCCTGGTCTTGAAACCCTGTCACCTGTCCTGTCTTGGCCCGTTCAAGTGCTGGGATTACAGGTGTGAATCCCTGTACCCGGCCAGGGATTTTCTCTTTTGCAGCATTTACAATTCCTATTTCTACAATAAATTAAAAAAACGAACTAGGTGTGGTGGTGCATGCCTATGGTTCCAGCTACTTGGAAGGCTGAGGCAGGAGGATCACCTGAGCCCAGAAGGTCGAGGCTGCGGTGGCCATGAGTGTGCCACTGCACTCCAGCCTGGGTGACAGTGAGACTCCAACTCAAAAAAAAAAAAAAAAAAAAAAAAAAAAGCGAATCCATAGAGTTAGTGGTTCTGCACTGTGTCTCCATTTCGGCTTTTTCTTTCTCTGAAATAGTAACAGCATAGCCAGTGGTCTGTCCTCTCAGCAGAAGTCACTTTTACTTGCCAAGACAGACAGGGCAAAAATAAAAGGCCATGGGTGGCTTCTACCCTGAGGCTCGGGGAGGTTAGAGCCAGGCCTTGTGCTGCTCTCCTAGCTCTGGCTTCCTCCTCCTTCCCTGGGCAGGATTCTCCAGGTGGAAGTCTTCATCTTCTACCTCTACACTGAGTCCAGGGCATCTCAAACACTGTGGAGAGTTCCTGGAATCCACAGCTGGGAAATCACCTGGGTTTTTTTCCAGGGATCTGAAGCTCTAAATCTGAGACTTGAAAAGAACCTTGCATATCAGGCCGGGTGTGGTGGCTCATGCCTGTCATCCTAGGACTTTGGGAGGCTGAGCAGGAGGATTGCTTGAGCCCAGGAGTTTAAGACCAGCCTCAGCAACATAGCAAGATCCCCATCTACAAAAACAAAACCAAAAAATTAGCTGGGCATGGTGGCATGCGCCCATAGTCCCAGCTACTCAGGAGGCTGAAGCAGAAGGATCCTTTCAGTCCAGGAGGCTGAGGCTACAGTGAGCCATGATCATGCCACTGCACACCAGCCTGGGCAACAGAGTGAGACCCCAACTCAAAAAGAAATCTTGCATGTCTCTTCTATCTTCCAAACCACCTGTCTCTGTCTGGGTCTGGCTTCCTCTGAAACAGACACATGCCCAACTTGGATGCTGGCCTTAATGCTCACTCGAGGCTCTTGTGAAAAGGGAGACGAATGAGTGGATTCTAGTGAACTTGCTCCTGGCTTTTTGTGCAGCTCTCAGTGAACCACTGATCTTTTGCCAACACAAGGCGACACTCACAGATGAGTGGAAGCTTAGAGGGTGTTGGCTGACTGCAAGCAAAGTGCCTGCATCATTGCCTGCAGCCTCGGTTTTGGCATGAGACAGGTAAGAGAGCAGGGCGAGCAATGCAGGTGGGCTGATTATGTGGCATGAATACTAGACTATGGAGAGCGCAGGCTGACCCTCAGTGCATGGTTTGTATTTTGTGAAACATTATCTTGAGCTGGAACTCAGGCAGCGGCTTCCAGGGCCAGGCCGATAGGGATCTGAACTTGCAGTTCCTGACTCGCTTTCTGCTTTCTCACCTGTTTTAAGCTGATGTGACCCAGTTGCTGGCTGGCTGTCCCGTCCCCGTGTCTGCCCTGAGCAGACGCCACCTTCAGCTTTCTTGGGATGTCTGAGCATCCCAGGTGTTTTTGGTGGCTTTGTTTGAAGAGGTGCTGGACCCTGGGGTGGAGTCACCCACAGCAGAACACAGCGTTTCACTCTGCATACTCTGTCCAGATGCTTCTCCTCTGCACAGGCTGTGCTGAGCCCTTGGCCCAGGCCTCCAGCCCAACCCAGCCCTGGCCCAGCCCAGCCCTGGCCCACCCAGCCTATCCTGGAGCTGTCATCTTTGCTCTGCCTTCCCCTGGTTCCGTTATCATCAGAGGAGCTCCTTCCTTAGGAATCATACTGCCAGCCGCACAGCCCAACTCCCTGGCTTCCCTCTGTCCTGCAGAGAACTTCACAGTGGTATAAGGTATCTGATCAGGAGGCTCTGCCTGCTCCTACAAGGAAATCCCTCTGCCAGCATTTTCTCCTGTTATTATGTTTTTGTGTAAGGTCATTTTTGTGTATGAGGTCATTTTTGCATTTGAGATCATTTTTGTGTGTGAAATCATTCATCAGTCATCACACGTGATGAACTGGACCCTCTTGGTTAAAGAGTGTTATGAGTATAATATAAGTAGCCTAAGCTTTAATACCAGTTTCTCTTTACTAGCTGTTTAATCAGGGACAAGTCACTTGATCTCTCTGGGCCTGTTTTATTTTATTCTATTATTTATTTATTTATTTTTTGAGTTGGAGTCTCACTCGGTCGCCCTGAGTGGAGTGCAGTGGCCGCTTCCGACTACTACAGCCTTGACCTGCTGGGCTCCGGCGATCCTGCCACCTCAGCCTTCCAAGTCGCTGGAACTACAGGCGTGCGCTACCACGCCCGGCTAATTGTTTGATTTATTGTAGAGATGAGGTCTCACCAAGTTGCCCACGTGGGTCTCTATTTTTATTTTTATATGTTTTTGAGTCAGTGTCTCACTCTGTTGCCCCGGCTAGCGTTCAGTGGCATGGTCATAGCTCACTGCAACCTCGAACTCCTGGACTCAAAGGATCTTCCTGCCTCAGCCTCCCAAATAGCTGGGATTATAGGTGTGTACCACCACACCCAGCTCTTGGCCTGTTTTCTGAACTGTAAAATGGGATTAGTAACAGAGCCTGCCTCATAGCATTGTTGTGAGGATTAAATGAGTCACCATAAAGGGATTGGAAGAGACTGGGCGCAGTGGCTCACATCTATAATCCCAGCACTTTGGGAGGCCGAGGTGAGAGGATAGCCTGACCCTGCGGGTTCAAGACCAGCCTGGGCAACTTGGCAAGACCTCGTCTCTACAATAAATCAGAAAATTAGCTAGGCGTGGAGGCACCTGCCTGTTCTTCCAGCTACTTGGAAGGCTAAGGCGGAAGGATTGCCTGAGCACAGCAGTTTGAGAATTTGGGAATGTGCCACTGCCCTCCAGCCAGGTGACAGAGTGAGACTCCAACTCAAAAAAAAAAGAGGGGGCTTTGAAGAGGGCTTGGCACACAGTAATACTTGGCCAGTGCACCCCATCCCTCCGGGTCCCAGGGGTGAGGTGACCCTGTTCTTTGGGGAGGAAGCAGCTGGGTATGCTGGCACTGGTTCACATGAGACGCACGGTGTTTGCTCCCTGAACGTGTCATTCACTTTCTCTGTACATTTTTTGCCAACTGTGTTCACTTCATATAGAGCAGATGGTTTTCCGCATGTTCACTGTAAAATGTCTGTTCTCCTTAACCCCAGCCCTTATCTGCCCCGCCTGACATCACCTTTCCCCCTGCACCAGGGGGAGCACCTCTGCTCTGTGTTGTAGTTACCCGTCTTGGCTCCTCTCCTGAAGCCCCCTAAAGCTAGACACCGTTTCTTGTTTGCTAGTCAGTGAAGTAGGGCCGGGTATGGTGGCTTACACCTGTAATCCCAGCACTCTGGGAGGCTGAGGCAGGAGGATTGCTTGAGCCCAGGAGTTGAAGACCAGCCTAGACAACGTAGTGAGACCTCATCTCTACAACAAATCAGCTGGGTGTGGTGGCACATACCTGTAGTCCCAGCTACTTGGGAGGCTGAGGTGGGAGGATCACCTGAGACCAGGAGGTTGAGGCTGCAGTGAGCCATGATCGTGCCACTACACTCCAACCTAGGTGACAGAGAGACTCCCAACTCCAAAAAAAAAGGC